AAGACAATTCAACATTTCAAGTGCAAGTAAACCCGGGCAATAAATGTATGTCTCAACAGCAATGCCCTCATCCCATGAATAAATAAAAATAAATGTAGTAACATGTAGTTAAAAATTCTGTTGGCTATTTTTCTATAACTTTAGTTGACGACAACACTCAACGATTGTAATGTTTCATAGCTGAGTTTCTTGATGGCTACAACTGTTGAAAATTGTGATAAATGTTGTCACATTAGGGGTGGTGAGACCTGTTAGCATCATCAGGCCTCATGCTGCCAACATCAGGCACATAATGTGTTCATCTTGACCACCCACCTGCCAAAATCCATTTGCAATTAAATTTTCCCTTTCCTTTCTCATTAATGTGTGTTCTGGATTTTGTCTACATGCTTTGGTATTTATGCCCAATTATCAATGTGGCTTTTGAAAATAGCGTCACTCAACATTGAGCTGTTCTACAGTTGACTGGCATCACAGGCAGCTGGCCTACAATACTTGACCAAGACCTGAAACCCATGTAACTAAAATAATTCCACAATAAGATATATGCAAAGGAATTTCTTCTTTCAGAGGATAATGAATGTCTGGAACTCTATACTCTGGAGAGTTGAGGAGGATAGATCACAGAAAGTAATTAAAGAAGAGGTAGATAGAATTTTGAAATATGGAGGAGTTGGGGGCATAAAGAGCTGACACAAAAGTGGAATTGAGGCCTGCAGCAGATTAGCCATGATTTTACAGAATGGTTTGAGGGATGAATAGCCTGCTCCTGCTCCATTTCTTTACGCTTTTAAATTACTCCGAGGAAGTCCGGCATTGATGTCCTGGACCTAAGAAGACTAACTTCCAACAATCACAACCAAGTTCCTCTGTGCCAGGTATGACTCTAACCAGCAAAGAATTTCCCCTTGATTCACACTGACTCCAGTTCTACTATGGCTTCTTAATGCCACACTCAGTCAACTTCAGCCTTGACATCAAGGGTAGTCACTCTCACTTCACCTCTGGAATTCAGCTCTTTTGTCTATGGTTGAATCAAGGCTGTACTGATGTCAGGAACTGAATAGCCCTGGTGGAATCCAAATTGTGAATCAGTCAGCAAGTTATCAATAAGCATGTGCATTGTGATATTATCCATCACTTTACTGATGGGTAGGCTGATGGGGCAGTAATTGCCTTGGTTGGATATTTCCCGCATTATGTACAGGACATAAGTGGGCAATTTTCCACCCATATCAAGTAGATGTCAGTTTTCGAGATGCTTTTCTCAGGATGTGGTAGGTTCTGAAACACAAATTTTCAGTAGGACTGCCTGAATGCAGTCAGGGCAACATCACATAGAGTGATGCTGAGGAGCTCCGGAGGAGAAAAAGATGGTTCAGTGACTCGGCATTTCTATCTTTTGCAACCCTGTTGCTCCTCGCATGAGCTCCTCCACTCATCAATAATCTCTGATATCCACATTGTTTAGGTGGAAATGTTTAGGGTAATTTTCTACATGTTCATTTCTTAGAATTGCCTTGGTAGTTCTCCAAAACTAGAGCTGTTCAATAACTTTGTTATTGCTGGCCTTCACCGTGAAAGTATTAAAAAATAGTACATAGACTATTAATAAAGGTATGATGCAGGGAGGCGATGGCCTAGTGGTATTATTGCTGGACTGTTAATCCAGAGATCTAGATAACGTTCTGGGGACTTGGGTTCGAATACCGCCACGGCAGCTGGTGGAATTTGAATTCAATAAATATTTGGAATTAAGAGTGAATCCATTGTCGATTGTCAGGAAAAACCTAACTGGTTCACTAATGTCCTTTAGGGAAGGAAACTGCCATCCTTACCTGGTCTGGCCTACATGTGACCTCAGAGTCAATGTGGTTGACTCTTAACTGCCCTCTGGGCAATTAGGGATGGGCAATAACTGCTGCCTAGCCAGCGACACCCTCATCTCGTGAATGAATAAAGAAAAAAAAATCATGAAGTATTAATGAAAATTCTGAACTTGCAAAGATGTTCCTATAACTGAATGGTTCGCAGTATAATAAAAGAATAGTGCAGATGCTGGAAATTTGAAAAAAGATTAAGTGTTAGAAATGCTCAGCAGCTGAGACAGCATTTGTGAAGAGAGAAGCACAGTTAACATTTCAGCTCAAGACCCTTGTGTCAGAAAGTTGCTGGTTAGCAGTTTATTCACACTAGGAAAATCTGTTATTCATTTTCTAAAATCCAGTGTGTTCATGAAGAATGAGGAAACAAAAAACATAACTCTGTTGATAAGCTAATAAGACTTTCAATCCAACAAGTCAACCTACACAGGATTTCTGTACATAATCCTCACTTGTGGCATTTTCCCATGACCAGAAAACTTTTCTACAAGAAAATGTGCATTAAACCTGATAATATTATAATAAGAGATAGTAGGAACTGCTGATGCTGGAGAATCTGAGATAACAAGGTGTAGAGCTGGATGGATACAACAGGCCAAGCAGCATCAGAGGAGCAGGAAAGCTAATGTTTCGGGTCGAGACCCTTCTTCAGAAATGGGGGAGGGGAAGGGGATCCTGAAATAAATAGGGAGAGAGGGGGAGGCAGTCAGAAGTTGTATAAAGGAGAAGATAGGTGGAGAGGAGACAGACAGGTCAAAGAGGTGGGGTTGGAGCCAGTAAAGGTGAATGCAGGTGTGGAGTTAGGGCGGGGTTAGGTCGGTCCAGGGAGGACGGACAGGTCAAGGAGGAAGGATGAGGTTAGTGGGTAGGAGATGGGGGTGGGGCTTGAGGTGGGAGGAATGGTTAGGGAGGCGGGGATGAGCTGGGCTGGTTTTGGGATGCGGTCGGGGGAGGGGAGATTTTGAAGCTTGTGAAGTCCACAATGATACCCTTGGGCTGCAGGGTTCCCAAACAAAATATGAGTTGCTGTTCCTGCAGCCTTTGGGTGGCATCATTGTGGCAATGCAGGAGGCCCAGGATGGACATGTCGTCCAAGGGGTGGGAGGGGGAGTTGAAATGGTTCGCAACTGGGAGGTGTAGTTGTTTGTTGCGAACCAATATTATAATAATCTGCTATGAAATAGAATTTTCTGTTAATAAAAATATAACAATTTTGATCCACATTTAAGGCATGAAGGTGATGGTGAGCCACTAAAAACATGATTCATACACAGTATGCTTAAACTTCCAAACAAAAATTGCTCAGCTCTATTCACTCGTGTGACAAATTACTTTTGTGAAATAAAATTGAAAATTTATTTTAAATGTACATGACAAATGGAATATATTATGGTTAAGAGGAATTTAGTCATTTGAGGAGACATTTATTATGTCTCGTTGTGAATTGTAACATACCATCTGGTTGTATGTTTCGTTTTATAAATTAAGCTCAGAATCACTTACCATTTTCTGCACTCTGGTGGTTGTGCGCATTCTATGAAAAATGAATCTTATTTTGCAATGGAAGCAGAAAACATTAGGGAAGAAATGCTATTATTTCTAAATGCATTTCTTCAGCATCTGCAAGTGAGGAAGGAGTTGTTTAAGACTCTTTTTTAATACACTAATTAGTGTTTAAACATCAAACTAAGCTATTGTGAATAAATGAAAACATTTGTTTTTGGACAATTATTTTGGAAAAAGGTTGCTCAATGGAAAATATTAAGATAAATGCTAAAATGTATATTCCATGTATATTTGTGGTACCAGTTTCAGCTATGATTGCAAAACTGATTTTATTAGTTCTACTTATATATACAAACACAGCATAACATAAAGAAAATAAATTGTAAACACGTACACAGATAGCACATCTAAACATAACAGGCAAGAAAGGTCCAGAATGAGAATGAATAAAGGCCATATATTAATTGAAGTAATATATTTGGAGAATTTTAAATGTGATTTTCTCTTTCACTTATGTTACAATTAGAAAGCTGCTTATGTTCTATTGTCCTGGACCACCAATGTCCGCATATCAGGAGAGCATGGAGTATCACCAAATAGAACCTTGAGTAATCGTCCTGTAACAAATGATGAATGAAGGATTTGTGACTATTTGGCATGTAACGGATCAAGTCTGTGTTATAAATGAATACATAATTTTTAATAATTTGACCAATAAGAACAGAAGAAGGAATATGTCACTTTACCTTTCAGTGTTTGATATCAGAAATATAAATACAAAAAACTCCACTTGAGAACATAAAAGGCAGTTTTAATGTTTCATTGAAAGACTTCAGCGAGTAGGTTGTTACATTGCAAAACATATATTTAGAAAAACTGAATGACAAATATGGTAACCTGTCCTACAAGGCAAAGAGAAAAGCTCCTAAGTCATGAGTGTAAAGTATTCCTTAGGGTCATCACACCGACATTAAGCACATTTGAAAGCTTACCAATAACACAAAACCTTAAAATGGTGTATTATACATTAATCTTTCTAAAAGTTTGAATTCAGTAAAGTTGTACTTTATATATCTTTACACAGAGGGTTCATAATCCAAGTACAGTCCCCACTGATTCAAAAGGATAACGTATATATTTTGAAATATTAATGCACAGTTTTACAAATAAGGGTAATGAAATAAAATGACTTGTAACTATTGCCTCAATCTTTGACCATGTTATGGATTGAAATTCTTCTGAAATAGCTCATAATTTCATTTTTACACTTTTAATTCAGGTGTTTCATTATTTTTGATCTGAACTTGTGTAGCTAACTTGCCTGCTTTGTTAGGAGTGTTTAGATACAAAAACGTGTGCAACTGAAACTATTCATCAAAATTTAACAGTGAATAGGTTTATTTCTAAATATGATTAGAGGCAGTAGCTACATTATTCCTCCTCCAGTCAGTTATTGGCACTTTCTAGGTCAAGAACAATCGTATAATTTCTAGATTCTTGTTAACGGAACTAAGGAGAAAATCAAAGACAAGTGGCAACCGGTGAAGGTAATTACTCAGCTTCCAACATAGTCGCTAATGGTTGAATAATGAAACATTTTTATTAACCTACCCCATGTCCTGAACATTTTCTTGCACCACTAGTTTCAGGGCAGATACTGAAATTAAATGCTTTCAGAGGAAGACACTTGCGATTGATACACATTCTGTCCTGTCCACATGGGGTTCCATCTTGCACGTACCCAAGATCTGTGACTTCATCTAATATGACATGGCCACCACTAGAAAAAACAAACAGAACAATATACTTCAAAGTAGAAACTCATAAGTGATTTATCATTTTTAGAGGGCATATTTGGCACACTGATATAGATGTTTATGTGAACAATTCTAACAAAGTGGTGGAAAGTGAGTAAATCACCCAAACTGGAGGAACTAGACCCTAGGGTTCAACTCTCACAGTAAGTCCACTTTTCAATGCCATTCATTGTACACCATTTTTAACCATGATGCCGTCTCTCTTTTTTTCTTTCAGGGACCAGCAGGATGTTCACCAGCTCTGTGGAGAAACCGGAAACTGCTTCCTCAACCTCTGAGGACAAGAGTACGGAGGCCTGAGAGGAAGTATCGGCAAAGCCGTCTCTTTGGCTCCCTCAAGCTCGGTTACAGTCACTTTAGTAGGAACATTAGCGTTAGAAATATTGGGAACACAATTTGGTGGGCACCTCACTGCCACAGCTCTGTAGCAGTTACATTCCAGGCTACACAGACTTAAACAAACAGTTGCAGTGCCAAATCAAGCAAATTTATACAAACCTGAGACTTCATATACAGCGCAATGTCATCCATGCCAATAAAGTACCTTTAATAGGTTTTCTTTCTTTCCTGCCACTGCCTCTCAGTGTAGTCCCTGGATCCACAGCTGGGTGGATGAAGAAGCTCAGCACTGGAGCTCACTGGATGCTTCAAAGCATGATACTGTTCTGTGCAACAGAGCATTTAAAAGGCAGGATTGGATAGACTGCGCTTGTTTTCCTTGGAACAGAGCAGACTAAGGGGATTATGCTTCAGATATACAAAATTATGAGGAGTAGAGATAGGGTAAGCAGGAAGAAACTTCTTTCCTTGGTGGACAGATCAACGATAGGGGGCATAAATCTAAGGCATGGGACAGAAAGTTGAGAGGGGATATGCGGGAAAGATTTTTCTCTCAAAGGGTGGTGGAAATCTAGAACTTACTGCTTGTCAGGGTGGTGGAGGCAGAAACCCTCATAACATTGAAGGAGCATTTAGATGTGCACTTGCGACACCAAGGCATACACGGCCATGAGGTGGAAAATGGGGTTAGAATAGATTGGGGCTTGATTTTGAATGGCACAGAGTTGATGGGTCGAAGGGCCTTTTTTCTGTGCTGTAGACCTCTATGACTCTATAAACAAGAGTTGTCACAAGTGTTAAATTCACTCAAAATCCTTCATATTATAATATACATTATGACGTAGAAGGTAAAGCAAATTTAGGCTGGCTGGATTTTTCAGATATTTTTCATCAACCTGGTGAAGTGTATTACACACACCACAGGGATAGTTTGGACATGGACCTGCACCTGACTCAGAGGTACGCACAGCACCACTGCACCACAGGAGCCCAGCTGGATTTTTTTTTTCCTTCTTTATATCCAGCAATGATCTTACACACAACAGAACAGTCCTTTTTTGCATTGCCAAGTCACCCATGGTATTTTTGCCCATCTATTAACCACCACTAGTAAATCACCCACTTGCACAATTGAGTAATGTATGTGCAAACCCCATTAAGGGAGGCTGGAATTTTTTTTTAAGATCAAACTGTCCAGAGACGTTATAACACACCTCTGGAGCAGGTAGGAGCTACTTCCCCCCCTCTGTGGTCGAGAATGCCCTCAACCGTGTCTCCTGCATTTCCCGCAACTCATCCCTCACGCCCCCTCCCCGCAATAACAACCAAAACAGAATCCCCCTCGTCCTCACGTACCACCCCACCAACCTCCGGATCCAACGCATCATCTTCCGACACTTCTGCCATCTGCAATCTGACCCCACCACCAAAGACATGTTTCCCTCCCCACCCTTATCTGCTTTCCGGAGGGACCACTCTCCGGGACTCTTCCGTAGCTACACTGGCCCTAAACCCCACCTCTTCCTCCGTTACATTGATGACTGTGTCGGCGCCACCTCGTGCTCCCACAAGGAGCTCGAACAGTTCATCCACTTCACCAACACCTTCCACCCCAACCTTAAGTTTACCTGGACCATCTCTGATACCTCTCTCTCCTTCCTGAACCTCTCTGTTTCCATCTCTGGCTACCACCTGGAAATCGATATCCATTTCAAGCCCACCAACTCCCACAGCTACCTAAAATACACCTCCTCCCACCCACCTTCCTGCAAAAATGCCATCCCCTATTCCCAATTCCTTCGCCTCCGCCGCATCTGCTCCCAGGATGAGACATTCCACTTCCGTACATCTCAGATGTCCTCATTTTTCAAGGACTGTAACTTCCCCACTTCAGTGGTCAAGAACGCCCTCGACCGTGTCTCCCACATTTCCCGCAACTCATCCCTCAAACCCCTCCCCGCAATATCAACCAAAACAGAATCCCCCTCATCCTCACGTACCACCCCACCAACCTCCGGATCCAACGCATCATCCTCCGACACTTCCACCATCTGCAATCCGACCCCACCGCCAAAGACATCTTTCCCTCCCCACCCTTATCTGCTTTCCGGAGGGACCACTCTCTCCGGGACTCCCTTGTCCGCTCCACACTCCCCTCCAGCCCCACCACACCCAGCACTTTTCCCTGCAACCGCAGGAAGTGCTACACCTGCTCCCACACCTCCCACCTCACCCCCATCCCAGTCCCCAAGAAGACTTTCCACATCAAGCAGATGTTCACCTGCACATCTGCTAATGTGGTATACTGCATCCGCTGTTCCCGTTGTGGCCTCCTATATATTGGGGAAACCAAGCGGAGGCTTGGGGACCGCTTTGCAGAACACCTACGCTCGGTTCGCACTAAACAACTGCACCTCCCAGTCGCGAACCATTTCAACTCCCCCTCCCATTCCTCAGATGACATGTCCATCCTGGGCCTCCTGCAGTGCCACAACGATGCCACCCGAAGGTTGCAGGAACAGCAACTCATATTCTGCTTGCAACCCTGCAGCCCAATGGTATCAATGTGGATTTCACAAGCTTCAAAATCTCCCCTCCCCCAACCCCATCCCAAAACCAGTCCAGCTCGTCCCCGCCTCCCTAACCTGTCCTTCCACCCGCCTATCCCCTCCTCCCACCTCAAGCCGCACCCCCATCTCCTACCTACTAATCTCATCCCGCTCCCTTGACCTGTCCGTCCTCCCTGGACTGACCTATCTCCTCCCTAACTCCCCAGCTACACTCACCTTTACTGGCTCCATCCCCGCCTCTTTGACCTGTCTGTCTCCTCTCCACCTATCTTCTCCTCTATCCATCTTATATCCGCCTCCCCCTCTCTCCCTATTTATTTCAGAACCCCCTTCCCCTCCCCCATTTCTGAAGAAGGGTCTAGGCCTGAAATGTCAGCCTTCCTGCTCCTCTGATGCTGCTTGGCCTGCTGTGTTCATCCAGCTCTACACCTTGTTATCTCAGGAGTTGAACTGGGCCATCTGGCACAGTGGTAGGGACACCACCACTGCATCACAAGAGTCCTCAATTAGAATAGAATAGATCATAGAATCCCTACAGTGTGGAAACAGGCCCTTTGGCCCAACAAGTTCACACCGACCCATCCCCCTATAACCCACCAAATCGCCACATCCCTGAACACTACAGGCAATTTAGCATGGCTAATCCACCTAACCTGCACATCTTTGGACTGTGGGAGGAAAACAGAGCATCTGGAGGAAACCCATGCAGAAATGGTGGAGAATGTGCAAACTCCACGCAGACAGTCGCCCAAGGCTGGAATCAAACCTGGGTCCCTGGCGCTGTGAGGCAGCAGTGCTAACCACTGAGCCACCGTGCCATCCACAAGACTGAGACTGGATTTTTTTTCTTTTTTTACGTCTGGAAGTGCTGTCACATACAACCAAACAATTTCTTACCCAGTGACCAAATCACCATGACTTTTTTTTTTGTTTTGACTAATAATTACCACCAGAGACGGGATCCTTTAGGTAACCTGACCAATATATTGTAGCTTTAATTCAGTATCAATTATTGTAGAGTAATTAGCAGGAAATATATGAGCCAATAAGACGGTATGCATTCAATTATAGCAGGTATATAAACTTCAAAGTATATTACAGAGCTGGAATAAAATAAAAAAATGGTTGCACTCATGGAGAAGATACAATTTAAAAGTGGTTCTGCTGCTTTAATAGACAGATCTGGAGTATTGTACATGCTTCTGATATCAATAATCTATTTTACAAGGGCACAGACTGCCTAGCAGGTATTGGAAACTTAGGGTTACGATTCTACTTCCAATAACACATTTTCAGGAAACAGTATAATTTGTACATTGACGTGAAAAAATAAACCTTAGGGCACTTCCCAGTGCACTCAAGTGAGAGATCTGATATTTAAAATAGCTACCTCCAATTACTTGGGCTTTACACTGGGTATAGTTATACTATTGTTCTGGGACAAGTCATAATTTAGGAGTCACTATGTAGCCCACTGGTGTGTCACATAAGTTTATGAAATATATTTCAAAGCCAAGTGGGAATGTGTGTTGTGAGGAAGAAGCAAAGCATCTTCAGGAAGATTTGGACAGGCTTAATGAATCGGCAAGAACACGTCTGATGGAACAGAATGTGAGCTTGTCCTCTTTGGCAGGAGAAACAGATATGCAGAGTATTTTACAAATGGCAAGAGGGTGGAAAGTATCGATATAAAATGGGGCATAGGTGTCCTTGACGATAATTCTTTGAATGCAAACATGTGGGTACAGCAAGCTATTCAGAAAGCTAATCGAATCTTTATCATAAAAGAATTTAAGTACAGGAGTAGTGAAGTCTTGTTTTAATTGCACAGCAGCTTGGTTAGATCGCAGCTGGAGTACTGTGAGCAATTTTGGTTTCCGTACCTCAAAAAGGATAGTATCACCTTACAGGCAGTGAACAAAATCATCAGACTTATTCTCAGGATGGCAGGACCGTCCAATGAAGAGAGATTGAGCCAACTCTGCCTGTGTTCTCCACAGTTTTGAAGAATGAAGTGATTTCATTGAACTTTGATAGATGCAAATAAGATGTTT